CCCTGCCGGACGGGAGGACCGTGTCGCTGGCCGGCTTCAGGGTGTCGTCAGGAGGCGGAGTGTCTCTGCCCATGGCAGCTCAAGTCAGCGGTAAGATTCACCACCAAGTTTCCTCCTTTTCAACATTAGGCCACAGCAAGAAAATTTTATGGATGACATCCTCCGCAGACACCAAATCTAATGCGATAGAGCAAAAAAAAAAGGCGGGCCAGAAAACATGACCTCATCAAAGTAAAGACAAAACAATAAATCAGAGCCTTGTCTTGTCTCACCTCTTCATATTTATCTGCCATCTATGACAACAGACATCCTCGCTCATTTTCGGCATGTTGACCACTGTCAGAGGGAAACAATTTTTTTTCAAAAGCAGGCGAAAATTAATGCGCGCGCTGATGCCATCCATAAAAATTATTTGCTGTGGCCTTATATTTTCAACAATGTGTATGTGGCAATACGTTACATTTTGCATCGCATATATCGGTATGCTGTAACAATGTCTATTTATGTCACTATTACTTTACGTTTGGGACCGCATTGTTATCATCAACACCTAGCTTCAGTGTACAGTTAATCTGTCATAAATACCCTGGTGAAGATGACAGACGATCATCCAAATGTCGGCTGTCGTTAACCAAGTGATTGTGAACTTGATTTAAGGGTTAATGACCCGCCCCGAGGTGAATATGGTGTGATAAAGCCTTGTCAGTTGCTATAACCACCGAATAAAGCCACCAAGTGAGCGCAGCGTCATAAGGAATGTGGAATGGAGCCTTCTGATTGGTCAACGTCACCTGGCTATATGATAATGCTACTTAATCATTCACCAACCTGCTGAAATTATTCACGGAGTTTGCTTTTCTTGCGAATATTAAATTGCCAATTGTTTATCAACAGAGTGTATGTAATGCATAAAAGTTCACCTGAGTTGGTAATTTACATGAAAAATTGAACTGTTCTCCAACTCAAAGAAAATGACTCTAAGAAATTTTCAACCGAATCTCTCAGTCTTCATCAACTATGTGTGACTTTTCCTACGTGTGACGTCAGCCATGACGGGAGGCGGTACAGACTTCCCACGAACTTTGACCTAGAACTGACGTCACACGTGGACAAAATATTACATAGCCACAGTACTACTTTTGACGAATATCTTAAACAATACACACAACACAGTTGTTACCTACTTTGGGGAGATTTCTAGACGCACTCAGTATTTCTTCTTCAACCGAGTAAGATCTCGTTTACAGTATTTGAGTTGGAGAACAGTTTAATTTTTCACCAATGGGGGTAGCCGTAGTTATAAACAAAAACAGGTGTTGGCAGGGCCAAAAGACTGCTTGTACATTTGCATAATCAAGTAGGAAGACGTTTCTCTCGCACTGAAAGGGGCCTTCAAAACTGACTTTGTCAACTCAGACCTGTTACCCGCCAGACAATGTTTTATCTTATCGGTTTTTATTCAAACCTCAGTCTAGTCTGCTGACGATATGTGGGACCGTGAGGGACCATTTCACTGGATCTCGCAACAGCTCCTCTACTTTACCGCCCGTTAGCAAAGCGAAGAAGACCTTTATATTGTAGCTTTCCTCGTAAATATGATTTCTGGCGCGGGAGCGTGACTGTCTGGTCCAGCCTGTCTGTCAACCCTGACGCCCCGCCTGGCATCCATCCCGCGCGTGCCGACTAAACCTCCGATAAACAAACGCCTCGGAGAGGACCCTAAATTCTCTTCAGAGATGGGCGATTGTCAGAAGAAGAAGGTCTCCCAAGCTCTTATGCATGGGAGCGTAGGGTGGTGCCCATCTCCATTTGGGAGACCCACAGTTGTTCAAGGCACTACAGCAGGGGGCTAGTCCGCTGTTAGTGTTGTGTGTTTGACCTTCCCACACTCTTTCTCATATGTGCTGAGTGCTAAGCAGAGAAAGAAAGCGTTTACCATTTTAAAGTCTTCGGTATGACCCGGCCGGGGTTTGAACTCACGACCTCCCGGTTACATAGCGAGCACTCTACCAATTGAGCTATTGATGATTGTCAGCTTACAAAAAAGACATCTTCTACCCCGAGTGTTTTATAAACGCGCCTTTTCGTACCTTTGAGGCTGGTGCATGATGTACAAAATGACTAATAAACTGATGGACGTCCCAAATACTAAGTACCTAATACCAGCCCAGAAGAGAACAAGAAATAGCCATGCCTTCAAGTACCAGAGTTATCAACCAAGGATTAAGGTCTTCAAGAATTCATTCTTTCCTTGAAGTATCGCAGAGTGGAACTCACTGTCGCCAAGTACAGTAGGGGCATTGTCATTAGATAGCTTTAAACAAAGTCTAGAGCTAGAAGTTCAAGGGTTAGGTGTAACAAGTCGATCGGTGTAATATAGCCAGCTGCCGCCGCGCCGCGTGCCTGCGAAGCTGGTGTGGTACGCCGAAAGGCGGTTATACCGGCTATACAGATGCAGATACAGGTGCAATGGCCAAATGGGTAGAGTGCTCGCCTTGCATTCGGTAGGTCATGAGTTCGATCCCTGGCTGAGTCATACCAAAGACTTTATAAATTGTACCTACACACTGCTTTCTCTGCTTAGCACTCATCCATGTTGACCAGCACGTCGGCAGAACGTACTGCACCTGCGCGAAACCCGTAATGTATTGTACATTTCGGTAGAATGTCTCATATAAGGTTGTATTCGCTCATATAAGGTTAGCATTTCGACAGTAGTTTCCAAATGTTGTGTTGGAAAGAATATCCTCTGCAACAGGCAAAATTCTGATGCAACGTTGACCAAAAACCCAACGAAAAACGCGAAAATACGGGGTTCTCCGCAGGCGCAGTACGTTCTGCCGACGTGCTATGTTGACCCGACCGAAAGTTAACTTTATAACGACTTGGGTAGGATGAGTATCCAAACTGATCTTTTGGTGGCATCAAAGACATCATCAAATTGGTCAGGCCAGTTATCATTTGCTCGCGTAAAAAGATAATGAATGAATGAATGAAAGACCTTTATTGTACGTTTGTGCTATAACAAGCTAAGTGCAGGTCATGAATAGACAAGGAAAAGGATACAGCAATGTCACTTAAACTATACATACTAATGTGATCTACTATTTACATTGTTCGACTTCTTCTCGCTTCTTGACGTAGTTGTAGATGTACGAGCATATAGAACTAATGATATATGGTTTGTCAAGTTTCATAAGAAATATAAATTTTTCTGATTCATTTAAATGTCCAAAGCTGGGGAACTTATCTATTATATAAAAATATATAGGAAATCTCTCTCATTACTATATATAACGTGCAATCGACTACGAAATTATTCTCATCCTCAATCTTATCTAAATCGCAAAATTGGCAGATCCTTTGCTCTAGAGGAATGCGGTTGTGTCTGCCTTTTTCTATGTGGAGTTTGTGTGAACTTATCCGGAGAATAGTACAATAACAAACCCCGATAAAAACGCATAAAACGCGTTAGAAACAAGCCGAAGTCTATTAAAGGCATCCAATGCGATTTCAGAGCAGCAATATTGGAAATATTCTGAATAAGGCAATCTTCATGATATTGACACATACTGCCTCACATTAGCACATTTCAATCAGTATTTCATACTTTGGGCATTTAAAACTGCAGAAACAAGCCCCAAGATGAGTCCTTTAGTTTCGGAGTGGTACCCTAAAAATAGTGCTGCATACCGGTTCACTGGACTTGGATCCGGACTTGTAAGAATGTTTAGGTTCAAGTCCAAAAAAACCTAAAAGTCAAGAACCGAGTCCGGACTTATTACCATAAAAGACCATTTCACATACCCCTTTTCTTTTCAAACCACCTAAAACCTTCCCTAGATTGCAAAATCTTTGCTGCAAAATGAAGAAAACATTGCCATCGGGCATCGTCAAGTACTGGCCTCCATGTTATGTGGCCAAAGTTTCACCCACACAACATTGCAAGGTTGCCAACATGAAATTTTGTATATGTTATGGATTTAGGTCCGGACTTACAAGTCTGGAACTGAACCTAAACCTCTGGACTTGAATCCGGACCTGGACCTAAAATTGAGTTTAGGTATGCATCACTACCTAAAAATCATCCCAGGGCCCTTCATGTAACCATTTCCGTCAAAGTTTGGGTATTTTTGCCTCATGAGGGTCAATATACATTGGGATAATGTGGTTTTAACTCAGCATGTAGATAAGTGAATGGGATATTGAATTCGGGTTTCCAAGCCCTAAAAACTGCACTGGATGCTGTTAAATATATTGAAACTTTATTCACAAAATCATGCCCGAGGGCCAATTGCTTTTACAATCAAGTATAATACTCATTGCAATACAGTAACAGGAGACAGGTAACAACTGTCTGGAAAAACGTCTATATACTTCTACTACTACGCTAGCTATGATGGGGTTCGACTTCTTCTTTGAAGGCAGTGAATAATGAATAGTCCCACGTTCTGCATAATTAGTGGGTTTTGTGATCTTAGTAGAAATGCAGTTTTTTTGGTGATCTTCTAAATGACGAAAGGATGGAGAAATTGTTGTAACTGCCTGAAATAATCTGTTTCTTTCGGTCTCATAGTGAGGACACTGGCTAACAAAATGTATTTCATTTTCCACTGCATTCATTGTACAATATTTACATAATCTCTCGTGCACAGGTAGTTTTCTATAGCGGCCTTTTTCTATCTCTAGTGGATGCGCAATATAAACCTCTGTTCGGGGAGTATTGTTGAGAGCACGGGAGCCTATGGTGTGAAGTTACATTAGCGGGAAGTCTGTGCTGTCAGAAGCGATTTTAAGTGATAGTCGTTGACAGGCACGCCAGACTTCTGCATATGTAGGTGAATAGGACACACGGCATTGACAGAAAAAGGTGGCTGAATGCCCTGTCCGGTCAGACCTTGTAACTTTTTATCTCGAGAGGCTCGTGAATTCACGTCGCAAGGGAAAATGAAACTAGGCTTTCCTGCCAAAGGCAGCAAAAATAGGCGACGGGATTATTGGGAGAGCTATCAGTCTGAATCAGATCAGGTCCTGACGACCCGTGAAACTGCAGAGGGCTGACATGATTACGAGCGAATGCCTTCAGTAAGGCCACACCGTCTTAAATTTATGGATGACATCAACGCGCGCATTGATTTTCGGCTGTCGCACGCAAAAAAAAACATCACGTCCACCGAGGCTCTGGCCTGGCTCTAGGCCTGCCTAGTCCATGGTAGTCAGCGACAAAACGGAGTCGAGCACCCAGGCTATCGAATTCGAAGTTCCCTGACTCAAGAACTCAGTACATAAGTACAGTACCGATTCATACATGCCGCAAAAAGCCAGCATGTGCCGGCTTGCCGTATACGTCGCCAAGTACTGTCACGAATTCACAACACCAGCTTTGTATTCCTGTGGTTTAGTATCATTTTTATTTTTGGCCGGAATTTTTTTCTTATTCGCCCGCGCGCACTAGTTTGGGGGTCTTCAGAGGATGTCATCCATAAAATTAACTCGGTATGGCTTAACGGTGAACCCAAACCTCGTCCCGCGAGGACGGCCGTTCAGAACGGCTACTTTGAACTTAGCAGGAAACTCGGTCAAAGGTGCAGCAGTTCTCCTATTGCACCATTACTCTTCACAATTGACCCCGACAGTATATCAAACATGGACCACATGGCCCTTCTTCTGGACGGCGTTCTCGTGTTCCGTCTCAAAAACCGCGAGGTTGACCCTGTCTTACCTAACAGACGTCAGGAACGAGAGTTCAGGGGAAGTTGTCCTTCACATGTCTACTCAAGTTCATCTCTGTAAACATTCACAGCAAGGTGTAATCTCCAAGCAGATCCTAGGGTGACAAAAAGACAGTATTAAATTGGCCAGGCCCAATTCGCCACCCAAGGTGGTGGGGGTAGCGACAAAAAACAACGGGCCATATATAAAAAGGTAACGATCTTCCCTCGTCAACCTCTACTTGGAGAGTAAGCAAGGTGTACGTGCCAGGGCGTTTGCAGTAAATATCACACATACCCGATTGGGTTTCAACTTTGGTATTTTCGGCTGACTGTTCCAAGTTTGTTGGAACACTCGAGAGATTTTTTTTATTTCTTGGCCATTCAAAATTTGGCAAAAAATCAACAGTTATCATTAATTTCTTCCATACGTTGTAATACAAAAATATGTGCATACATACATTTGGTGTACAGACTTTACTGACCAAAGAATATGATATAATATCAATTATTTCAGACATATGCATTCGCAGCACACAACATAGTTTCAAATCACAACAATCAAATAATACACACGATAACACATATTTGCTCCACAATTTTTGTGGAACTGTCGCGAGGGTCTGTGCGGCTGCCATTCGGCGCCACAAGGTGACCTCAATACGACTTTCCCCAACCGAAGTTAGGTACCCATTCACACCTGGGTGGAGTGAGGAAGATTGTGTAAAGTGCCTTTCCCAAGGGCACAACTTCGAGGCGCATGTCCAGACATGTCCCGGGTACAACTCGGGATCGAACCCGGGTCTCCCCGCTTCATAGTCGAACGATCTACCACTACGCCGCCCGACGTCACTAATTTTGTAAGAAATAACCAGAAATTTGACTTACTGTATCGTGTTACAATAATGTTACATAATGTTACATAATCCTAACGCTTTAACTCTATCAACCGCAGGCAAGCAGTCCACGGACCCGTCGGCGGGGACAGGGTCTCTGTCGGGCGGGGTGACCGTGGTGGGGCGGCAGAACGTGCTGGGGCTGTGCTACGCGGACATCAGAGGGGGGCAGTGCGTGGAGCCACTCGGGGGAAACGCCAGGGTGACGCAGGCAGAATGCTGCAAGACGTTCGGCAAAGGCTGGGGCGATTCCTGCTTCATGTGTCCACACATGTTAGGTACGGGTTAGCTTCTACACCTGCTTCATGTGTCCACACATGTTAGCTTCTACACCTGCTTCATGTGTCCACACGGGTTAGCTTCTACACCTGCTTCATGTGTCCACACATGTTAGGTACGGGTTAGCTTCTACACCTGCTTCATGTGTCCACACATGTTAGGTACGGGTTAGCTTTCTACACCTCACTGTTTTATTACATGCATGCCCTGTACATGAAAACATAAACAGAGCAACATAAGCAATGAAATAAGAGAAACTAGTCAACAAAAAACAATAGATTAAGAACAACACAAAATAACAACATATACAAAACCAAGCGTCCATCAGAATCGTTTAACCTAAATGAATGCCGATATGTCAGACCAGGTCAGAGATCAACAGTTATCTAAATACGCCAGTATTTCCACACAGTTACGTTTTAATAATACTGACGTGGAGCATCTTTATTTTCGATAGGACAAGTTGATGGCTGCCCAGCTGGTCATCAGAGGAACCAGACAACAGGGGCTTGCGCCGGTAAAGTATTGTTTGATTGATTGATTGATTGATTGATTGATTGATTGATTGATTGATTGACTGACTGACTGACTGACTGACTGACTGACTGATTGATCGATTGATTGATTGATTGATTGAATTTACACTATTTTTCCTGGAGTATTGGTGATGATACGAGACGGGGGTTCGCCGGGCCTCCATCCGGGTGGTTTGAAGCGATTATTACCAACTTCCAGCTACTTAATCCCTGTGGTCACGCATATGTGTAGATATGTAAATATCGTACGTTTGGGAATGCATCTATAGCAGCGACACCTGTGCTGCAGTGCAATGTGAACCCGTCAGAATTGCCCTGAGGAAGGTGACAGACGGTCACCAAAACGTCGACTAAATAAAAGACTTGGTTGTGTAAAAAGAGTCTCTTTACTCAGTGTCTTACCAACCTGATGAAACTATCCACGGTTCCAGTTAATTGTCTTCGTCAGAAGGACTATGAAATTGTCTCGCCGGAGTGTGGGGAACTGCGGATTTTGCGTTATAACTCTGGAAGGCATGATTCGACGTCCATGATTTTTGGCAGGCAGATTACCGCTGTTGAGGCCGAAGACAAGTACAAGTTTCGGCTTCGTGGGGGTCCGTGCGTCACGTTAGTGCACCTTTTGTGTTTGTGGCTTGTTAGCAAGATAACTCAAGTATTTGTAAAATGTTGACTATAATTCTTGGTGTGGTGCTTACTATTGTTGGGACCAAGGTTAAGTTTGTTACTAAGCTTCGTGGGGGGTTTCGTTGTGACTACAGGGGGCATTTTGTTAATTTTTCTTGTGAGCAGGATAACTTTTGTATGTGTGGATGGAAGTTAATGAAATTTGATAGGCATGTTACTGTAGTGGTCTCCAAGATTGAGTTTAAAGATGAGAGTCGTGGAGGTCGTTATGTCCCCGTAATAGGACCTTTTGTGTTTAGAAATCCCCCACTTACATCTGCTTGGAGACAGCCGACAGCTGGATATAGCCGGGGAACCACATAATGGGATGGGATCAAATGACGTTACATTGAGGGATTGTACTATAACTTCAGCAGGGGGAGGATAGGTTGGACATATGTCAGGTTATTTTCTACGGCCACACCAAGTAATTGCTATGGATGACGTCCACTGGAGACCTTAAATCTAATTACCTTAAATTTAAGGCAAGCGCGCAAATAAAAAACACGAAAGGGCCGAAAAAACGAGATGCCTAGATTTGGAATATACTAACTGTAGT